CTCAGCGGTCAAGGCGCCAATGTCCACGTGTACGGTTTCTTCCCCTTTAAGTCTGACATTCTGAGGTTAAGACCAAGTTTTTAATATAGAGGTTGACACCCTGTGAACGTGACTGTCCGGCCGCCGGATCCTTTGGCGGCATCTTCTCCTCTGAAAGCTGAATGTTCTCTGCAGATGCCCCACGGCCCCTGCAGAAGCGGGCCAGGGCCTTGAGCTCCATTTGGCGCTCGTACTTGGACTGCGCGCGGGCAACATAGAGCAAGTAGCCTGATGCCGTCGCTGGCAGCTCTGAGGGAGGAAAAAATTGAGAGTTCTCGCGGTTGCAAGCGAGCTGCTCTTTTCGGTGCGATCCTTCTCTTCCTCTTCCTTTTCCTTCAGGACGCTCTCAAGTTTGGAAGCACATGCGCAGAGGTCTTGCAGCATAACTTTGCATGTGTATGGCAAGTCAGAAGCAGCTGCCAGATGCAGAGCAGGTCCTTGTCTGCTTCCTTCTGCTCGTCGGTACGGCAATCCTTCTGGTGCATAGCATTGATAGCCTGGCCGGTCCCTTCTTCCATGTACTCCGTGCATACACCGTGCGTCAGACAGCCATGAATGAAGCGCCTGAACAGCCTGGTCGTGGGTCTCGTAGTTGATGAATGCAGACTTCCGGCCCTGACCGGCAGAATTGGTCCGAGCTCTCAAAGCGTTCTGGCAGGTTTCTGCACCTTGTTGTCAGTCGTCACATGGGAGGACGTGATCTGAGCGCTGGGTCAGGAATGCAAGGCAAACTAGCAATGTACATAACATAACGAATAGATGTTTACTCGATTTACATGTTAAGTCCCCTTGCTCCGTGAGCTGAACGAATGAGGTGCCAGCACTTCCGTGAGGTGCGAACTCCGCCTTTAGCTTGTCCTGAAGGAGTACGAGATTAGTCTTGCTCACTTCTGGCATAGACCTTTCTGCAAAGATTCAAACAGTGAGGATGCACAAACTTCTGCTTCTCTCCAGCTTCTCTCTGAGATGCTTCAGGTTAGCAAGGTCCTCGGCCCAGTCGTCAGGGAAGTTCTTGATGTAAATCTCAGTCGGACAGAAAAGGACATAGGTTGTCAATATCGATTGTTCTGGCTCCCAGCATTGGTGAAGGTGTTCATTGCTGGCTTCTCACCTTCGGTGATACACACGCTGCCGGCTGCACAACCCACTTTTATACCCTGAGCTCCCTGCGATCTTGACGCTTCACGAAGCCAGACACTCCAACCTGCAGGCACATCGCTCGCCGAGGATCTTCTCATGGAGCTGCATCCTGAGGCGCAGACCGTCTTTTCCCCGATTTGCATGCCGTCGACGCGTTCAATGGCCTGCCACATCCGGGCGCTTGCATCACGACTCCGCCCTCCCGAAAGTCTTCTGAACTCAGTGCATCAAAAATCCAATCCAAAACCCACTGCAGCTCTTTGAAAGAAGGCACGCAGGTCTCGCTTTGTCCGAAAGCCCAGGCCCTGGTCCCTAGGC